GAGAACAATATGTTGTCTGCTAACCAATTTTTCAAAGTCTGGAAAAAATAAATACATTAAAATGTAATTAAAAATTTCTGATATATTTGTATTTTTTAAAACTTTGAATGTACCTATATATAATATACATTTATACATTCAAAGTAGGTACAGTAAAACCTGTCTATAAAGGAATCGCTTGGGCTGACAAATCCCAATTTCCGTTATAGGGAGACTAAAATATAAGTTATTCAAGGACTTTGTTATTTTCCTTTAGGGAGATTTCCGTCTTATGGGGTGTCCGTTTTAAGGAAGTTTTACTGTACCTACTAAGATACAATTAAAACCATCTTGGAGATGGAGATTATAAATATAAAATTTAAAATACTAGGTATATTGTTTCACTTTCAATATCTGTATAAGATTATATATATTGAAACAATATAATATTTAATAATTATATATTACTTGCTGATCCCGTACACTTCGTTGCCCGTTAAAAATACCAACGCTATTTTATAAATAATATGTTTTTCTTATAATATAACGGTTACCATAACAACAATTTTAAACCAATAATTATTATTATTATAGCTTCAAAACCCATGGTAACCATTTATAAACAAAAATGTCCATAATAGGAAGTATCAAAATCCCTGTTTGAGCACCTACCGTGGTTGGTCCTCTCAATTTTTATATTAGCCTATCTTCTACCCAGAGGTCTGAGAAATATCTGATCCCGTGCACTTCGTTGCCCATTAAAATTGCCAACTCTATTTGTATTTATATACAAAACATTCCATCGAAAATTACAAAATAATATATAACTGGTTACCATGGAAATATGGACACACACACCAACGGAAATCTCAAAATAATATATATGGTTGCCATGGTAATATGGAGACACACACACACACACACATACATTCATTTTTATATATATAGATGAAATCTTAATAATGGATTTTTTTCTTACCATCACAACTCAAACTAAATAAAGGTGGACTTGGTGGTTTAGAATTGTTTAAATAACGTTTTTGCTATGTGGATGTGTGATTTTTCTTTTCAATTATATTTTTATGGTCTGTCGATAAATCTGATGTTACTTGTGTTTTTCTAGATTTTAATCAAGCTACTTCAATTTTAGCTAAAATTAAATTATAAAAAAATATTAATTAATGTAAATCCATAGAATTATTAAATTATACATAATTATATTACCTATACGGCTATACTTACCAATATCTTGACTCATTATACATGCATTATAATAAATAAATGCATCTGGGTTTTCAGCCGGGTCTACTCTTTTTTCAATGTAGCTACGCACGTTAGCTCTTTTTTTTGGCCAAGCACAAACTCCTTTGTCCATCAAAAAGTTTGGAATGAAATCTACCAAGTCGTCAATTTCAAAGCAAACAACACTCCACATATTACTGAAATGAATTGCTTTATTACAACATAATATATAATCATACAAAAAACATAGGTATGTTTGTATAGAAAGAGAGAGACAGGAAAACATATTCATACATAAATGTAGATATTTAAAATGTTATATTTTAGTGAAAGTACTAATTGTAAATATTATATAGGTAGACAAATCATAACTCTATTTGTTTTATCTAGGTACAAACTACCTATAAAAATTTAAAAATTTGATGAACTAACAGATTTTTTAAAACAGTATCATATTAATTATATTATTATATAAAAATTATACCTATACAGACTATAGATAAAGGTTGATGTACCTAGGTACCTGCATACATAATTAATTATATTAAATAATAATAAATATTAAAATTAAAATAATAAGTTATAGATAGGTAGATACTATATTATATGTATACTAAATAATTAAATTAAAAACTTAAAAAAAAAAAGGTAGGTAATAGGTAAGGTACTTGTAATAATAATAATTATTATTATTATGTAGATACATCAATACATGTATCAACACATACATCAATGCATCATAATTAAATCAACGTATTGACTTAATTATGATGAAATATAGGTACCGCAGTAAGTTTGTCATTCAAATCAAATACAAGCATTTTATTTTTAATATCTGAAATATTCCACTGTTTTAAATGTTCTGATAATTTGTTTATAACAAATATATTTAATATAGATGACTTTAGAGGTTTAATAAAAAGATCTTCTTTTTCTTCAAATATTTTACCAATAAAAACTGTAGTTTTATCAGAGGATTTTTTTAATTCAGTTATTTGTACAATTTCATTAGAGTTGGTGAGAACAAAACAATCGGGTATTTATTTGTATACTTTAATTCACTATGGGTGATTGGTTGAATTGATTCATTTTTGCATAGTTCATTATATCGCCTAATCACTTGCTGTAAAGGTTTTTCATTTTTATGCAACATTTTCTTTAAGACTTTCATGTAGTTCTCAAAAGGAAAAGTGCTACACGTGTCGAGAGGTCCATGCCTTTCATAATCATTAAATCATCTCACACAAATGAAGAATTCCATACATAGGCGTGCGCACGAGTGCCTAATTTAAATTGTTGATGAAACATTGTTTAATTATTTAAAACTGATTATTGAGAGTTGGTATAATTTATTCTGTATCATATTATATATAATATATAACATTATTATGTATAATACACAATTGTCAATTACACAAATAATAATCCGTTCATCGAGATAATAACGCAATACCTAATATCGATTGTACTGGGTACTTCAAAGATGGTCTTGATGACTGATATTCTCTAGCTTCAATTAATGTATGTTCATCAAGAGCATTATCACTACACAGCTGTTGTAAACAAGTTTAACAATTTTTAAAAACACATTTATTTAATTTTCTGATTATATATCCAGCGATGTAGGTATGCGTTAAATCTCTTAAATCTTCAGTAGTCTTCGTAGATTCAGCTACTTGTTTTTCTGGGAAGGCAAATGATGTGGAAGTTGGCTTAGGATATTCTTCTTGTTGAAATGAAAATAAATGTTTATAACTCATCAGACTGTCTTCATTGAAATCTTCGCAGTTTGCTCCCAGAGAATGCGAGGACACCAAATTGTTGAGAAGTAAAGTTTTATACGATGAAATGAATATACTGCAAGTTGGTTTTGAACACCCAACACTTCTTATAGCACCAAAGAAACATTCCAATGAATCTTGATTCAGATGTCTTGGGAGTAATGATTTTATTCCTTTATTCCAAAGAATTTTCGACAGTGTTTAAAAACCTAAAAAATAAAAATTAATAATTGCATTTCTAACTATTTTAAATCAAATGTTTATAAATTATTTACCTCTTATTGTTGTTGACCAATTTTTAAGTGTTGGTACTCTAACTGCTTTTCCATTCTTTCCAACAAATTGCATTGTTGATAATATTTTCAAACTATCTTGCCAAAGTTTATGATGAACGGAATTTTGTTTCACAGATGTTCTATATATTTTGCCGTCAACTTGTTTATCGAATGAGCCATTTAAGGAATCGAACAGCTTATCAAAAAATAAAAAGGCAGCTGCTGTGTCAGAAGCTTTTGGGTCAATGATATTTTTAGCTAGAAATAAAAAAGTAATTAATTTCTGATATTTGAATAATAGTTAAGATGGAATCTTACAAGCAAGAAAGTTCATAACTGCAGATACCCGCTGACTGAACACTTGTGTGGCATTTCGAACCTTCATTTTTGGTACCTTTTCCGGTATAACATGGTTGTCAGTCAAACGAGGAAGCATTTTACAGTCCGCTATGAGACTGTCAGTATCATACAATTGTCTTAAATGATCCCATTTAGCAATTCGTTTGACCCCATCAGAAGAGAAGCATAAATCTTTGGTCATTAAGTTATTTCTTGTACATTTTAAAAGATGGGGTACATCAAACAAATGTACAATAGGAATGCGTTCTACACCATCGTCAGATTTAACTTAAATTTCATAAATGTCATCCCGGTAATCTTTTTGATGTTTTACATAATATGATTTAGTTTCATTTTTCAAAATATTTATAGCACCTTCATTTGCACATCCTTGATCACATATTGTGGCAACTACACATAAACCAGTTACTTGGACTTGACAAATTACCTATTGAAAACAATTATAGTGTATATTATATAATGAATATCATTTGAAATTCAAGATGGTATCATTACTTCTCTCAATTGCTGCACAAGATCATGTTGTTTGGTAGCTCCTTGGCAAAATGTATAGGATACTGGCTGCTTAAATTTTTTTTTAATTCCACGGACCATAAATACAAGAGCGTGATCAGCAAGCAGTTGACTCTTATTATCTCCAGAATCAACAAAACCATCAATAACATCAGTGGTCGAATTAAATTGCAGTCCACCATTCAAGCACACTTCATCAAATATAATTGAACAAAATCTACATAATAAGCAAACAAAAAATAATATAAATGAAATATTTGAATTATTTGTGTATATATATTTACCGCTCAATTGGTTTCAATTTCTTTACATTTTCTTTGAGTACACTCATCACAAGAGGGGAAATTCCAGGCCGAATAGATACCGTTGATAAAATTGTGTTGAGTGTCCTTTTACTAGGCAAAGTAAAAAGTTTTGATAACATCCCATAGCATTTAGGACTCCTTTTATACAATGATAGGCTTAACATATTTTCATCAATACTAAATCTTCGTCCAAGACTTGCCTTATTTGTCTCTCTAACCTGCGGTTTCATAAACAATGAAGTGGCTGCATTTATTTTATTTGAACATTTATCGGTCAAATAATTATCATTAAGTGTTTCTGCTGCTTTCAGTCTGTCTTTAAAAATACATTTTTGGCTCTTGGCACGCCTACATTTTTTTAACAAAATATTTGTTGCGTTATACAGTTTCAAACATTTTGGAGTAAGTTGCCTTTTATTTTTAACACCAATACTACATAACAATCCTGCAAGTAATTAAAACAAATTCATGTAATGATAGTAATTAAATACTAATATAGACGGTATTATCAAATATTAACTTTAAAAATAAATATATTATGAATACTAACCTATAGCATTATTTGTCTTTTTAGCTTTTAATGAACTACTAACAGCATTACTATTGCCAACATGCATTGATATTACATCACCATCATCTACATAAAGCATTGCATATTTTATATTAAGCATATTAAGCAGTGTTGGGGAATAATTTAATATGATTATAATGTTACTACAATGAAACTTATTTTTAAGTTAGGTACCTAAGTACTTTTTTGTAGTAACTTCCCAAACATTCAGCATACCGAGCATAAGCCATATAACTAATGTCTAAAATAATTATAAAAGTTAAGTGTTGAATATAAACTGAAACTTACTCATTACACGTAGTACGGATGGAGAAACTTTTAAATTTTTGCAATTGGAAGGTGTGTTTTCAAATTCATTTTCAAAAAGTTCACAGCCAGATACATTTAGATCATTAACTTCAGAGCCAGATACATAAATATCAGCAACTTCAGAGCCAGATACATTAATATCAGCAACTTTATGAATTTTGACATTTGAAGTACTAACATTTGCTGGTACTGTTATATCTTCTACTGGTAATAACTGTTGACCTGTATTTTATAAAAAAAAAATTTACATATCTGGTGTCTACTATCTACTATATGCTTTGTGTTATACCTGGTAGATTCAATGTTGGATAGGCATTAACGTTGAGACTTTTTGTGCCCGGACTCGAACAACTGTCCTCAAAATGATCAGCACAAATTACCTTTTTTTGGTAAATAGATAATGCATCACTTTTATCCAAACCAATGATATCAATCCATTTTAGAAGTCTTTCCAAGTATCTGTTTGCATTTGGAAAACGGTGGCATACTAGACCTAATAAAATAAAATCGTAAGACAAAAATGTTCATATATGGTGTATCGTGTATGTAAATGACATGTGCCATGATGTACATTTTTGTTAATTAAATCATGAATAAACATATTATATTCGTATATTACCTTTGGATTTACAACCAATAATGACACATCTTGACATATTTTTATAATATAGAGGTTGTGGCGTTGACATGGTAAATAAGTACAAAACGTACAAATATTAACACGTATTATACTAATATATACCTACTATATATTATACTTGTCTATGATTATATTAAACTTGTCTATAATAATAATTATGAACACAACATTACACAACACAAAACGCAAGTCGCAAACACGCAGTCGGCAGTTAGAAAAATTATTTTCAAGTGTTACGCATGCGCTGTACGATTGTCTATAAGCGCTCCCGGTCACTACTCACTTCTGCACGTACCCACGACCGGTCCCCGACGTTGACGAGTGTCACGGGCGCGTTTGCTCGGACGCGTGACGACCTTGCCCAGCTCTGCCGTGCTAAGCCAAAAGAGGGTATTTCCAATTTTGGTCAAAATGATTTTATTGGGTAAATGGGTTTATTATATAGTGATATTTTATCGATTTCAGAAGCCAAAATGTCGTATATCCACTTTTTTCTTGTCTTAAACATATGTTTAAATTAGTAACTTTAAGGGTATGTCCATAAATATTCACAAAACAGAAGCATTTTCACAGTAAATCCTAATAATTAGCAAAAATAGGGTATGAGACATGAAAATTATTGGAGTTACCGTTACGTGAAAAAAGCTTATTTTTACATTGCTATTGAAAACAGTATCTCCAATCTAAATAATATTACCACTTACCAGGCATTTTGCATCTGGTATAATGATAAGTATTAAATTATAATTTATAATGATAGGTACATCAATCCCACGATTAAGAGGACGTGTCACCCAAAAAAATCACTCGAAAAATTCCTTTAAAAACATGTTTGCGCGTTCCAATAATATGGGTTACTGAGTGGTTTTATCATAAAAACACCTATGAACAAAATTGTAGAGGAGAATTTTATCTGGTTCCGTAAGAATCCCGATTTTTGAAATTTTCATTTCTAAGTCCTAAAATTAACTTCTGGAAAATGAAAAAAAAGTGTATTATTAATCATGATATATTTCATGATGTTTTAAAGATATCAAAAATCGGGCTTCTTACGGAACCAGATAAAATTCTCCTCTACAATTTTGTTCATAGGTGTTTTTACGATTAAACCACTCAGTAACCCATATTATTGGAACACGCAAAGTATGTTTTATAAGAAAACTGCAGAAAATTACGCTCGGCAAGTGCTGCGCCCGTAGTCAGTGGCAGCGTTCGATACTAGCTGTGCATACCACCACCCCGCGCGCATTAACGGCGGTACCGCACCATGGTCAAAACAGGTTCCCTATCGCAGCCGACCGCCCGTGCATAGTTTATAAATAACCAGATAAGAAAATGATTATTATATTTGTGACAAATAATATTTAATTTGGTTCGATTTTATATTTTGTATTCGTATCCGAATTTTATACAAATAAAAACTATACTTTTGTTCTTCAAGTAAGTAATAGTGTAATACGGCTTATTGAAGCGGTTTGCAATAAAAATACCTATTATAAAAATTGTAGAGGAGAATTTTTTTAACAATCGTAAGGAATCCGATTTTTGATATTGTATTCCAATCGTCCAATATCGCATGATAAATTAACAATTTTTTTTTTTTACTTTTTATCGATTAATTATTTAACTCATTAATAAAAATATAAAAATCGGGCTTATTTCGATTATTAAAAAAATTCTTCTCTCCAACTTTTATAATAGGTATTTTTACTGTAAACTGCTTCAATAAGCCGTATTACTTGAATTACGAAACCATATTTTGTTCACTAGGCCAAACTCTTCTTATCCGAATTTTATACAAATAAAAACTACTTTTGTTCTTCAATTAATACGGCTTATTGAAGAGGTTTACAGTAAAAATACCTATTATAAAAGTGGTAGAGGAGAATTTTTTTAACAATCGTAATAAATCCGATTTTTGATATCGTATTCCAATCGTCCAATATCGCATGGTAAATTAACATTTTTTTTTTTACTTTTTATCGATTAATTATTTAACTTATTAATAAAAATATAAAAATCGAGCTTATTTCAATTGTTGAAAAAATTCTTCTCTAAAACTTTTATAATAGGTAGTTTTGCTGTAAACTATTTAAATAGGCCGTATTACTTGAATTATCGAACAATTTGGGTATGATAAAAAAAGAAATAGGTAGGTACTCAAAAAACCATTTATAACAATTAACAGAAATCATTCAATGTAGACAATCTAAGCCACAACCAGGTAAAGTGGTACATATTATAAATTGAATATAATTTGCGAAAGGATATTTTAAATAGTCCATACCATATATTTTGGCAAACACTCTAATTGTGCCCGATATTTTTGCACTGGAAGAAAGTTATACTAACTGAATTTGATCGACGAAGTAATGCAAAGTGGTTTGATGAAAGAAATGACAACTGCACTTAGACGTGTTGCTGATAATGCAAAAAGTTTATTACTTGATGTTGATAACAAGTAACAACATCTGCGAACAGTTTAATAGTGTCATTAATGCTTATACATAGGCGGTAAACGAATTAATTTTTCTCAAAAACAGTCGTACACCACTAGAATATATACTGCTGTACTGCTGTAGTATCATTTAATACAGGTGGCAATTATATACGAGAGCTTCACAAAAAGATAACAACCAAAAGTACAGGTACATTATTTAAAAAGTACCTACAGTAAGTTTAATTAATTAATTTTAATTTTATAATATTATTATGGCATGAATTAGAATTTAATTGAAATTTTGAGTTTTTTACAACAACGCTTTCAAATTAAAATTAAATAAATACTACCAAAACTTATATTTCACATTTTAGATTCTGAGCGGAGCGATGAATGTATTGGTTTTACAATGATGTGTGTTTTTATATTTTTATATTTTTGTGTCTATCATCACGTTTTGGGACAGTAAAAGTGCTTCGATTTTCTTCAATAGTACCTTTTCTGATAGGAAAGTGAATCTAGTTGGTACTTTGGGGGGTCAAAAGTAAACATTTTCCAGTAGTTTTCACAAGCGCCGGGAAAAAACAACATAAAAATTAAGGAAAAACGGGAATTTTTACGCAAAATCGATTTTCCAAAAAATGAATTTGGTTTTTGGTGTAACTTTAAAACAAATGACGTTAGATACATGAAATTTTCACTGGTTGTTTATATTTGCATTTTCTATACACGATAACATTTTCAAAATATTTTGATTTATTTTAACTGTTTAGGGACATTTTCATTTTTCATTTTTTTTTAGTTTTTTTTCTAGAAATATCAATAAAATTTTATTTGTTGGTTGCGAAAGCTTGAAAATTTAATAGAAGGCTCCTAATATGTTATTTTAAAGGCAGATGAAAAATATTAAAAATCCTTAGTCACAATTTTTTTTTATAAGCATTTAAAGTTCAAAAATTTACAAAATATGGAAAAATCACGAAAATTAGCAAACTATTTTGAGTTAAGAATTCGTAAAAATTTTTCTTTTTAAATCTAAGATTTGAAAATGAAACACAAGATTCCTTATAAGATTATCTACCTTTATCAATAAAAAAATCTCTACCGGACAGTCAAGTTAAATTTTTATGAGCGTTTGAAATTCAAATTTTTACAACATTGGATATTCACTCGATTACTCATGTAGCGATTTCCTTATTTTGTTGCAATTCAAAAACGAACAACTGTAGATACATGAAAATTTCACTCAATGTTTAAATTAGCATTTTCTATACACCATACAATTTTGAAAATATTTTGACTCTTTTTGAGATGTTTATGGACATTTACAGCTTTCAATTTTTTTAGTTTTTTTTTCTATAAATATCAATAAAGTTTTATCTGTTGGGCCAAAAGTGTAAAAATTTAATACAAGGCTCCTGATATATTGTTACAATAGCAGTTGAAAAATATTAAAAATACATAAGTACAGTTTTTTTTTATAAGCATTTAAAGATCAAATTTTGACAAAATTTATCAAAATCTCGAAAATTATCAATCATTGTAATTAATAAATTATAAAATGTTCAGTTTTTATAGCTAAGGATTGCAAATTCAACACAAAGGTTCTCGTAAATAGTTCAAACTGTAACCAAAAAATCTAAAAAATATATGAACACACTTATTTTTTACAGACATTTTAAATTAAAATTTGGACGAAATTACATATTAAAAAACCTAGAATAACTATTTTAGTTATTTTGTTGTGATTGAATAATATTATTCGTGGGTACTTGTAACTTCTAAAGTGTACTATTATATATCTATGATAGTATCACGGTATTTGTTGATGTATAACGCGTTATAAGTATCTAATGGATCACGTGATATGATTAGTTTGGAATTTATTATAGGTACCTATTATAGGTCAATTTTTTGTTTAATCGTGATCAATCCTAAAATTATATATAGTTACAAGTTATAACTACAACATATTATGTTGGTAACACTATATTTGAGTAATATTTTATAATATTTATATTTGGTGCAGTTTAATACTTTAATACCAGAAATAGAAATACAATATTATTCTGTGATAAGGTACGTAGTTTTTCGGTTTTTCTGCTTGTTCGTTTATCGATGCCTGATGGAATTTGTCTAGTTCTTTAAACTCATATTGTTTAAATATATTATTATAATCTAATGACAATCCTCAAGTATACATAAAATGAATAGTCGTACAAGGAAAATGTTGAATATGGCCACAGAGCACAGAGTTCCAACTAAAAATGTAAGTATCTATTTAATTTACTCAATTCATGAATTAATATGTTAAGTAGGTACCTATTAACATTAACAATATTATGTGTTGTAGAGTGCAGACTATGCATATGCAAATCATAAAGTTATGGTATTAGACAAATATTGTCTACAAAATTTACCTCAAAACAATTCTATAATTGACCAAAATAATATATTAAATGAAGTAGTACTACAGGAGAAGCAAAATATATTATTAGAAGTAGAAAAAAAGAAGCAAAATGATGAATTAATACCTGCTTCATATTCCATAAGAAATGAGGTGATTAATTAATCTTTCTTAATTTTAGATTTTACAGGTTTTCCTATTTACATTTAAACATTTTCCATATATTTAACATTTATAACTACCTATGTATAAAATATGTTTTTTTCACAGAATAGTATCATCTATCATGATAATTCATACAGTTCTGGAAGTGGCAAATATGAAAATCAAATCTTACCTCAAAATAACTATGTAGTTGACCAAAATATATCATATGAAGTAGAACTGGAGAATCAAAATATATTATTTGAAGTAGAACAAGAGAACCAAAATGATGTATTATTACATGCTTCATATTCCAAAAGAGATAAGGTAATTAACTAACATTTCTTAATTTTAGATTTTACAAATTTTCCATACATTTAATATTTCAAGTATGTATAAACATATTTTTTCTTTCACAGAATAGTGCCATCGATGATGATATTTCATATATTTCTGGAAGTGACAAATATGAGAATCAATACTTTACTCAAAATAACTATGTACTTGACCAAAATATATCATATGAAGTAAAACTGGAGAATCAAAATATATTATTTGAAGTAGAACAAGAAAACCAAAATGATGTATTATTACCTGCTTAATATTCCATACATTTAATATTTTAAGTATGTATATAAACATTTTTTTTTCTTTCACAGAATAGTGCCATTGATGATGATAATTCATATATTTCTGGGAGTGACGAATATGAAATTCAATTTGGTAATAACAATAGAAATGAGTACAACAATTTAACACAGAATAGTATCATTGATCATATGATAGTTGCTCGTTATTCAAAAAGAGAAACAAATGGTGCACTGACATATTTTTAACAAAGCTTTAATTTTTAGGCAATACAATTTTGCTGAGAAACAACCCAATTCAATAACACAAAGGGCCTCAACATATTTAAATTGCAAAGAAACACATAACTAGTTTTGACTTCAGTATATTTTAGAACTCGTCACTATTGATCTGATTGTGATGACAATTGGATCTGTATTTTGGGACATTGCGATTAAGTGGTAAGTTGATACAAAATAAAGTTCTATTGAAGTCAGTGGCGTCATTTGGGGGGGGGCAAGGTGGGCATTTGCCCCTGTCTGATTTAAAAGCGGCCCGAAGGGCCGGTGACCAGTTTTTGCCGTTTTACCATTATTATTTTTTATCAGCGCAAAAACATGTCTATTTTATATTATAATATTTTCAGAAAATATTATACTACCCATGTACTCAGAAATTATTGTCACTATGATACATTTTTTCTAATAATTGATAGTTGGAATATATTTATATTTAGACGTATGCGGGGACGTACACATTGTATGTAGGTATGTTTGTTTGTGTGAGTGTATAACAATAATAATAATGATTAATGAGTATCGTAATCCCGTATAGTTTTATTTCTAAAATCTAAAATTAATACAAATTCTAAAAACAACAACCGATTGGCACTCTTATTAATTATCATTGTCCATTGATACCAGACTTCATACGCAGTTAACTTACGAGTTGCGACACTCGTGTATGGTAAACTATTCAACCATTCTGCGTATTGTGTTGTGTAGCCAGGGCCGGGTTGGACAAATTCGGCCCACCGAGTTTTCCGTACTTTACCAACCCACTTAAAAACTGGCGGCCCTTGGGTACGCTCTTATTCCGTGCATAGTTATTTTATTTTATAGTCTCCATTTCTACAACTTTTAAACTCTTAACATATTTTTAGTCAATGCGGCCCCTCATGACTTGAACGGCCCAAAATTGTCACGGCCCGCTGAGTTTTACATCGGTAACTCGCCGGGTCAATCTGGCCCTGTAGTGTACCTTATCCTAACTAAATTAAAATTTATTTTTTCGTGACGCGTGTTTACATTAATCTTTCAATTTGAGCAAAATATGACTTAAAAAAAAGTAAATGGGTGGTGTGGTTAAAAATATAAAATTACCGCAAACCGCTCAAGAATCGAAAACAATTTCTGGTATGTTTAATAAAAATACAAAACTTAAACCAGTAAGCACTAAGCAAGCAATAAAAAATAAATAAATATTATAATTTAAAATTATATTAATTTGAAAATATATCGTAGACATATAGAGTATAGGTGATAAGTGATGAATCAGGTAAAATTGATTTATAGATGATGCAGTTGATATATTTTCATAAAATAAAAAAAAGAAGATATCCTTTAATAAGCTACTAATATTTTTGTTTATCAATAAATATAATATGCTAATATGCTATATTATGTTTGTAGACTTTTAAGTTTTAATTGATGTAGGTGTACAATTGTTTTTTATAAAATATCTGCCACCTTCTATTTAAAAATGATATTACCTAGTTAATAAAAAGGGTTGCATAAAAAAATGTAGATAATATAACGAGCGAAGCGAGCGGTTTTTTTTTACCTATTCGGGCCGGTCAAAACCTTTGCCCCCCTCTATTGAAAACTGAAATGACGCCACTGATTGAAGTATGTGAACATCTAAAATTTCATATAGGTACAAACTAATAAGTTGTACACCTTAATTATTGGCATAGGTTAATATGAATTGTTTATTAATATTACATTTATTTTTAACTAAATTTTCACAGTAAGCAACAATAAAGATGATGGTGCAATACTTGTGTTTCTTTTTGGATGGGATCAAATATCAAAACTGACTAAAATTTTAAAAGACTAAGGCTTTGGTAATACATGTAAAGTATATTGTATAAATGTAGAATCTCATAAAAATGTTGATATCTGTTTATAAATATAATTTTTATTTTGTAGCTCGGTACATACTGATTCCTTTGCATTCCATGTTACCTACTGTATCTCAAAAATCTAAATTTGAATCGTCGCCTCGGGGTAAGCATTAAATATAAAAATTCTTTAAAGCATTGTTGTCTAATGTTAGCATTATAACAGGTGTTTGTAAGATCATATTATCCACAAACATAGCAGAGACTTCAGTTACCACAGACGATGTAGTTTATGTTATTAATAATGGCCTGATGAAATTAAAAGGATTCGATGCAGAAAATAACATTGGACCTCTTAATGAAGAATGGGTGAGCTTAGCTAATTGTAGACAATGTCGTAGTAGAGCAGGTCGTGTAAGACCTGTTATTTGTTATCATTTGTATACAATTGGACGTGATAGATCATTTAATGATTATGTACTGCCTGAAATGATATTGATATGATGAAATTGCAGCTGGTTCAAGCTGCAGAATTTAAAATCAAAATGTTGGAATCTCATTCAGCATTAAAAAAAGTCTAATGAAAATTTAACAGCTAGAGTTGAAGAACTAGCATCTCAAGTTAAGGATTTGCATGATCAGGTTTTATATTAATTTTTAAATAGATAGTTTCCAAGTATTAATATATTATTATATTTTAGGTTGATGCAGCTTTAGGAGTAGAGAAATTAGTTGAGCTTCTGGGTTAACAGAAATTGAATTTGAAATTAGAATTGGAGAAAGCAGTGACTGATCTAGAAGCGATACAAGATATTAATGATCAACTCCGAGAAGATACTACAGAGTTGGAAATGCAATTACTTAAAGAATTAGATATGGCAAATGCTAATATTAGAGAGGTTTTAAATAGTATTAATAGCAAACATTTTATTTTTATTTATACCTAAGTCATATTTATTTTAAAGTGTGTCAAAGGAAAAGGACAAGCATTGGAAAGTTTAGCTGTACTTACTTTATATTAATTGGATGAAACACAACAGCAATTAAAAAGAAAGTCAAAAGAATAAGAAGAAACGATGGACCATTTGCAAGCAGATATTGATTCACTAGAAACAGAAAAAGGAGAATTAAAAAATAAACTTAAACATTTTTCAAAAAAATTCTTATTGAGGGTATTTACAAGTGAGTTACCTATATTTTTATAAGTTAATCCACTTATTTTTATTTATGAAATAACAATATTATAGTAATGACTGATGAAATATTTGTTGCAATATAATAATCAAAATATTTTACAAATTAAAACCTTTTTCAATTTTGATTTCTAGTTCAATTTAATAACTGCCTTGAAAGTTGGGTGGGTAGGTGGGTGAAATAATAGTGTATACTTCTGAGTCCTTCTGCTATAATTTTACTAAACACAGGAATATCATTAAATTATGTACATTTAATTAGTTTCACAGTCATTTGAAAGGGTGTTCATTTGGAAGGAGTGGGATGTGTGTTTCAATCAAATTATTTGAACTGCCAGTTTTAATAATTAAGAGGATGTAACACGGGCATTTGTTGTCTCCGTCTTACAATTATGTAACAGCACATTTAAGCTCAGCAGATCACGTTTGACTTTGTTAGTTTAAATTTAGAGTGAATGAAACTTGATGGTAAGAAAATTATCTTTGTTTTATAGGAGTTTTACTGTAGTTAAATTTTTTAGCAAGTTTGCGTATATAATATAGCGTTAATTAAAAAAGCTCATAACTAAAAATATAATAATAGGTCGATTCATTCTAATTTTTAAACTAGAAAAGCTTAATGTTTTATGCTGAGCTTAAATTTCCTATGTTACTCTCTTGTAAGACAGAGAAA